GGCCGGGCTCACGGCCCCGAGCCAGGGAGGGAGGGGACGGGGTGAGGGTGCGGGAGTCGTGGCCGGCGCGGGGCGAGGAGGCGGTGGGCTGAGAAGCAGGTGGGCCCCGGGCCAGCCCGGCTCCGGACGCTGCCGACTACCCCAGGCCGAGCGGCCGCGTTTCCGGCTGGCGGGGTGGCGCTCAGGCCCCAGCGCAGGAAGATGTTCAACGTGGAGTCGGTGGAGCGGGTGGAGCTGTGCGAGAGCCTTCTCACTTGGGTACGTGGTGGCCGGCTGCCTAGGCCGACCCCTTCCCGGGCTGCGCTTCGGGTACCCCAAGCTCGTCCTGCGGGCGAGCGCCTCTGGCGACTGGGCCCTCACTTCCGGGCCCTTCCAGGGGCCTGGGCCGGGCTTAGCGGAGGACGCCAGTGCGGGCCGCGTCTACACCCGCGGTCGGGCCAGGCCGGGGCTACGAGCGGCATAAGGGTGGGGGCAGGCGCGGCTCAGGATCTGAGCGAAACTTGCTGGGCTTGAGGGGCTGGCAGTTCCCGCAGTGGAAACCGGCCCGGCCAAGGCTAATGATGGGGTGCTGGCGACACTGTAATCGTTGTTTGCCGCCGGCGATTCTCTTGGGCTTCCAGGGACAGCAAAGCGTTGTTTCTCCTGCACCCCGACGCGGCCAGTAGAGGCAGTCGGGACCCTTGGTTCTTACGCTCCTCGCCTTTGTTGTAATGTCCGCGAAGGATGGAGCGTAGCCCCTTGGGGGATGAGCTCTGCCCACCGGGAAAGGAAAGAAAAGTATTTATTTTAAGAGGCGGGGGTAGGAAAAATATGAAGAGGCACCGTCGGGCAGAATGTTTAAAATGCAAGATGCATTTTGGCTATTAGAAAGCACGCTTTCACTTTTATAAGTGGAAGAACTTACAAAAGATGTCATAGATGAAACGTCAAGTAAGACAAAGGTATTTGGAAAATCAGTAATGGAACTCCAAAATACTTTGGAGAAACGTTTTTGGAATTCTGATTTGAAATTATTACGCAGTTGTTCAGGTTTTAACATTTTTCTTTTTTAATTTATTTTGGAGACAGTCTCACTATGTAGCCCAGGCTAGCCTCGAGCTCACAGTTATCCTCCTCTCCTGCCTAGACCTTCCAAGTGCTGAGACGACAGGCATGTCCCGCCATGCTTGGCAGGTTCTAACATTTTAAAATCTGCGTTGGATTCTAATGTCAACAGTAGTGCTTCAAAAACTGGACAGTAAACTTACGCTTCTATATTTTACAAACTCTGGTTGGGACTTGGGGTGGGGATTCAGAGTAGGGGTTTAAACCAAGTGCGCCTTTGGGGATCATTTGTTTTACTTGTTGCTAAAGTATTAAATAAATGCCCCTTCTGGAGAATCTCTAGGGTGCTGGAGATTGAACAGTCTCATGCAAGTTAAATCGTTTTCTCTACCACTGAGCTGCACCACCTCACCTTTCATATTTTAAAGGTGAAGCATAAATGTGAAAGAAATTCTGGTTAGCGGTGCCTTGGGTTAGGGGAGAAGCATCACCTATGGTTGGTTGTAACAAATGTAAGTTTTTAAAAAGTCTTGACTTTTTCATAACATGGCTATGTCGTTAATCAAATTACGGCCCCTGCAACATAGAGTATATGTAATGATAGAGCTTGATATGTTTAGTAAGTTTTATGTTAGACCATTCTTGGGATTTCAGGTTGTTCATGATTCTCCATAGATGACAAAGAATTTCAGTAGGTTCTCACTGAAGGCAAGGAGGTAGAAGCTGTCTTTCAAGAGATGATAGGAGGTTTGACTAGGCAGCGGGTACTTTTTTTGGATTTTGTGGAAGGAACAGATCTGGGAGAGGTTGTAAACGCAAAGCTGAGGATCTTCAGTGTTGCATTGTTGGGTCTGTACAGTAGTGCCTTGCTCAGTGCTAGCAAAAAAGGAGAAAGAAGGCAAAGATGACCGCTGAACTGGTGCTGTATTGTTTAAAGTCTAGAAAGAAACGTCAGAAATAGAGGTGTATTTGAAGAGCAGCTGGAAAATTGTTGATGGTTCAGTTTGAGTAAGAATGCTAAAGAGTAATAGAGGAAAAATGACAGAGGAAACTTTAAAGGGCTTATAACAGAAAATCATATGATTTCAGGGAATTAATTTAGAACCAGATGCAAAATCCAGAAACAAAAATAATCCACATTATTAACTGCATAGGGCAGGGAGTATGGTCTTATAGAATAGGCTATCTGAAATAATGACTGGAAGCCTTATCAAAGAAAATTTCTGGAGATGAGAGATTATTGAAGACAAAACTGGAGGGCAGGTTCCATAAAATGATGTACAATTGTCAGGTTTGGAAACACTTTAAAACATTGTTCATTGAAATGTTTGAAAATAAAGTTGACTTTAAGCGCTCTGTTTTTTCTCTTTTGGCTGTCATTAAAAGAGTAAATGTTTATATGAACAGTATTTGAGTTAGCTGAACATGCATGTTTTAGTGTAGTAGCACTGTCTGGAGGTCAGATAATGCTGAACACAATTCCAAAGTGAAATATATAGGAAAATATATACAGTACACTCCAAAGTAAAGATTCTTATTTAGAATAATTTGCTCTATTTTGCATAAACTCCTATTCAACTTGGCTGTGGGGTTTTGTTTTTTTTTTAGCACATGGTAGGCTAGAAGGTAACTGCAGCACTCAGCAAAATACAGACAGCTGTCAATGACAGAGAAGACCCATGTGGTAAAGTTCAGTCTGGGTGAGTCAGTCTTTGGGCTGCCAGCTCTCTGTGTCTCTGGAGCCTCTGTATTCAGTTATAGAGAGTGTCATACTTATAATTCTGAGCAGGAAATAAAAGTTTATTTTCACTGTATAACATTCAGTTTGGGACAGGAGAGATGTGTATAGTACATTTTAAACATTCTTCCACTGGAAATGGCTAAAATAATGGGAGGTTAGGTGCGTAAAAGGGATGAGTCTTAGTCACCTATGTAGAATTCAGTCCTGTGGAACTATATCTGGTTGCCCCAAAAATGTTGGATAGATTGCCATTGTTATCAGAGAGCCTGAAATGTGGTTATTTCAGATTTTTGTTGAAAGAGGAGTACGTATAAATAGACAAAGTAATCCTACAAATGGAATATACATCTCAAGCTTCAGTTCTCAGTCAGTGTATGCAGTTAAGCTGGTTCAGCTTGATATGCTTAAACATTTCCATTATACTTCCGCTCCCACCCTCAGGATCAAAATTTATTTCTACTTGTTAGGAAAAGTCTGCCCTGCCTGTTAAACTTTGAAGCTTAATTTCTTAAATTATACCTGAATCTCAATGAAAAGATGGCACTTTGCTGTGGTTTATTTTCTTTATTTTGCAACGCTGGGGATTGAACCCAGGGCCTTGTGTGTGCTAAGCCCTGCCACTGAGCTAAATGCCCAGCCAGGCTTTAACCAGGTTTTAGAAACTGCAAAACAAGAATCTAGAATGCTACCAGTTCATGAGAAGAAGCTAAGTGAAAAAAGCATCATCACATAGACTTAGTGCACTTGTGATAAAAACTAGCAACCTTAACATATCCTAATTATTTTTATACGACTTATTTGGGGGCCTATAAAATGCATGCTAATATATAGAAGTACAAAGGATATAATTATTAATGTGGTATCTCCCCATGCCATCATTCTCTCTCCACTGCCTTACTCCATCCTGCCAAAAGAGCTGATTTTCTAGTGGAAGAACAAAGAAATCTGTCATGTACAAAGATTTTAATACTTTAAAAAAGTGTAAGTATATCATGATGGTTCAGAATACAACTTATAAACTTGATCTGCCTGGGTTCAGTTCCTGATTTTATTTCACACTATACTTTGTGAGAATTGTGTTCAGTTTGACACTAAGATTGCTAACCCTGACAGTTCATCGGTCTCATACATTCACATTGACCAGCATTACCTTTGCTTAAAACATGGATTGCTGGGCCCCAGGGTCAGAGTTTCTAATTTCTTAGGTTTGGAGTATAGCTGAGATTTTGCATTTCTGTTGAGTTTTCAGGTGATGTGACCTGGGGACCATGTTAAGAGAACCACTGCTCCAGATCAGGGTTTTTAACTGTATCACCATTTGACATTTTGGGCTGGATAATTACCTGTTGTGAGTGCTATACTGTATATTGTAGGGGATTTAATAAATAGTAACATAGCTTGCTTCTATCTAGTAAATGTTAATAGCACCCACCTAGCTCCCACAGTCAGAATTGTCTACTGAAAAGTAAAATCACCCCTGGTTAAGACCCATTGTTTGGAACTTGCTAATTCCAGGGTTTCTCATGATTACTTCTCCTACTTTTGTTAGGGAAGGGGAAGCAGAAGGTGGGTGATATTTATAAAGCTTCCTGGAATTACAAGAAAGGTTGTGACCCTTCAGGTAGTATTGTGTGCCCTAACAAGGTTAAGTGCATTTATGGTAGAATTTATATTGTATTGCTTTCCTGAAATGCTCAGTGAATTGGTATGTGATAGATATTTTTAAAATTGAGATAATTTACATGCCATAAACTTCATCCTTTTGAAGTGAACAGTTCTCTGGTTTTTAGTATAGTCACAAGTTGTGCTGTAATCACTACTGTCTAGTTCCCCTAACATTTTCATCATGCCCAAAAAGAAAATCCATGTGAAAATCTTCACTTTCTTCTCAAAGCAGAGGTGGACATTGAATAACTATGTATCTTAAGGGCTAATAAAAGAAAATAATTGCTTTGAAGCACATATTAAAATCAGAAATGAAAATTTAACTTTCTCTGAGTGCTAAGAGAAAAACAGATCTAGTCTTAGAACTAAGGGGTCAGGGATATAGCTCAGTGGTGCGAGTGCTGTCTGGCAAGCACAAGGTCCTGAGTTTGATTCCTGGTACCCCGCCCCCACCAAAAGAATGAAATTACCCTTTAAGTTACTTTACTGAATTTTTTTTTTTTTTTTTTTTTTCTGATTAGCCAGAGGTGGTTTTCTAATCTTACATCCTCGTGAGGATGTAGGTCTGTAGTTGAGTTAGAGCACAATAGCCTGAGTTCAGTCCTTTGCACTTTAGGGGCAAGGATTGATAATCTTCTGTTCGTTACATTTGGTAGTGCTTTGGATGAGAAGATTCCAAATGCTAAACCAGCGCTCAGCTATGTAAGAATTATTCAGTGAACTTGTTAAGAGTAGATTTCCAGTCAGGCGTGGTGCTGCATGCCTGTAGTCCCAGTACTTGAGAGGCTGAGGCAGGAAGACTGCAGTGAGTTTGAGGCCAGCCTGAACTACATAGTGAGACCCTTGTAAACACAACAAAAAAATAGATTTCCAGCTCCCTGTGCACCAGTGTACAGAGATTCTGATTCAGTAGGTGGAGCTAAAAAATGTGTATTTTTAAAATAAAAATTTCCCAGGTGGTTCTCATGTATACCCATGTATATTTTGAGAATAATATTTCCTTGTCTCCTCACTCACCCTTTCATAAGGTATTTTTCTCCAATATTTACACAGAAAAGTTAATACTAAGAGAGGTGAGGTTAGTTTAACCTGGTGATACGTGCCTGTAACCCCAGCACTCTGGTGGGCTGAAGTAGGAGGTTCGCAAGTTCAAGCCCAGCCTGGGCAATTTAGCAATATATGGAGACCCTGTCTCTAAAGGGCAGGGATCTAGCTCAGTGCAAAAGCCCTGGGTTCATTCTCACTCCCTCCCTCTCCCTCCTCCTCCCTCTCCCTCCCTCTCCCTCCCTCTGTCTCCCTCTTTCTCCCTCTTTCTCCCTCTTTCTCCCTCTCTCTCTCTCTTTCTCTCTCTCTCTCTCTCTGATTAGAATTTATTACATTCACAGCAGTAGTCACTGGGGCTTACTCTGTCTTGTGCCTTGGGGTAAGATTAGTGGTAAGAGTAAAAGAGACTTGGCTATCACTGCTGCTGCTTTTTCCTTCTAGCCAAATCTCTAAAGGCATGACATTTTAAAAAAATAAGGGGCCGTTAATTTAGCAGCTATAAAATGAAAGCAGGCGCTTATTTCTTGTAAAGTTATGAGGAGGTAGCTCCAGATAGTATGCAGCAAAGTTCCAAATCAGTTTCTGCAGATGATGTTTATTCTGTTTATTCATCTATTTTTCTTTTGAGGTGGGTGCTTGATAAGTTGTCCAGACTGGCATCAGACTCAAGCTTCCCAGGTAGCTGGAACTTAAAGATGTATGCCACCATGCCTGGATTATCTGTTAATTTTTAATTGAACCTACACTTGTATCAGTTGAGACCTTTCTTATCACCTCTCCCAAAATATTTACCTAACTAAAAACTATGTTCTATGAGGACTTTTTTTTTTCTTTTTTGTGGTACTGGAGAGTGAATCTGGAATCCTTTACCACTGGCTACATCCCCAGACCTTTTTATTTTGAGACAATGTCTCACCAAGTTGCTTAGGCTGTTCCCAAACTGTAAATCCTTCTGCCTCTGCCTTTTGAGTAGCTAGGATTATAGGCATGCACCACCACACCTGCTTGAAGATCTTTAAGATAATTCTCTTGGTGGCTGCCACCATAACCATCATTACCCATAAGACTCTACTATGCAGGTTATAAGGAAAGTATGACTGGCAGGGAAGTTTGGCAATATTTATCAAAAGTTTATCAAAAATATTATCAATATTTATCAAAAAAGGGCTCTTTTTTTGCCCCCTAACCCAATAAATGAAAAACACAGGTGGTCACCTAAGTGTAGTTCCTTAGGTTAGCCTCTTCTGTGTTAAAATAGGGACCTGCTAAAGTAGGTTCCTGTCTCTTTATCTCCATATTGTAGCCAATACAATCTTTAGACAGTTTAGATCTCATAACCTCGCTTTCCTGCTTAAAATCCTTTGCATTAGTCCTGCCTTTCACTACTTTACCTTTCTCCCTATCTATCTCTCCCTGTAACTCTTATCGCCCCCGCTATCCATACCAGACAGGCTGCTTATTTCTAGAGTGTATCACGTTCTCATTTGTAATCTTCGTGCTTGCTGTTGCTGTAATACTGCTTCAGTAAACTGTAAGGTCTGTCTATGAGAGTAAAGCCTATATCTATGCTTAGTAATTTATTTCCTTCCAAATTCAGATGGAACTACTAGATAATAATCATTGTTTGCTCAGCTCCATTTCCTTACATTTCTCAACCGCATTATATTCGACAAGTACAAAGTTAGTTCTGATTTGGAGTATATTTGAAAACAATGAATTTGAATGTACAGCCTAACCATGGTAAATATGATTTCTACATCTATATAAATATATTTTTGTTCTGAGTAACAGAAACCCCATCCTGTCTAGGTTTAAACAATAGGGTAATATATCTTGCAAAATAGGAGACTGCAAGCTTTTTAAATTCAGTGGTTCAATTTTTACCTTGAGGACTTAGTTCTCCCTCTTCTCTTGACCTCATTGACGTGCCTCATCCGGTAATAGTTGTAACATGACTGCTTGCAGCTATTGAGGCAACACAGCATTACTCACATGAATAGATTGACTTTTTTCTACTAAACGCATCTTGGCATATCTCTTCAGTCTATATTTTCTCTTCCCAGTTTATACCTGAGTCAGTTAGTGGTAGGAGGGCTAAAGTTACCGTAATTTTCTTAGATCATCTTTGAGTAGAATGGGTGATGTAAAGTCATCTGGTATGGGGGCTGGGGATTTAGCTCAACGGCAAAAGCGCCTGCCTGGCAAGCGCAAGGTCGTGAGTTTGGTTCCTGGTACCGGAGAAAAAACCAAAAAAAAAAAAAAAAAAGTCATCTGGTATGTACCAGTTTTTCTTTCAGAAATTTCTCTAATTGTCTATATATGGCAAGAAATTTCCAGTTGTCTTCTTTTTAAAAATTTATTCCAACCCACGATATGAGATAATCACCAAAAAACATAAATCCATAAGAAATCTTTATATAGTTTAACCATAGAATCTTTTTTCCTTTCAGATCCAAACATTTAATGTGGATACACCATGCCAGACTGTGGAAGATTTAACGAATGGGGTTGTGATGGCCCAGGTTCTTCAAAAGATGTGAGAATTAAGTTGCTTATCTTTTATATGTTCTTAAATATAGATCTTTATTAGATGGAAAATACAAATTTAAAAAATGTGTGTTACCTTTCTGCCACTGTGACAAAATACTACCTGGGATCCAATGTACAAGGAAGAAGGGTTTATTTTTGGCTCCCAGTCTTGGGAGTTTTTAAGACATGTTGTGCCATTGCTGTTGGGCCTGTAGTGAGACAATACATTGTGGTGGGAACATGTGAAAGAAGCTACTCACTTCATGGCAGCAGAAGGTGAAAGAAAATGGCTGCAGCTCCAGTATTGGCACATCCCCAATAACCTAACTTCCTTCCACTAGGCCCTGACTGATAGAGGTTCTCCACCTCCCAAAATGCCATGGTCTAGGAACCAAGCCTTTAACACCTGGTCTGTCAGGACAGTTTATTTCCTAACTAGCAAACTATCTATGTGCAACTTCTGTTATTTGTAGACTAAGAATTGTAAACACCACTGACAATTTTGATGGCATGTACTTGTCAGGTCTGTATTGACTGCTTGCAGCTTTTGATTGGTGCTATAATTATGTTTTTCTTTTTAAATCAGATTTTATTGGTATATTTTAGGTATACATAATGATCACTTTCATCATAGACAATTTGTACCTGTGCGTGGTATAACTTGTTTTTTTTTCCCATTGCCCTACCCTTCCTTCATACCCTCTCTTCAATCCCTCCTCCCCTCCCCATTTACAGAAAGCTTTCCTTCCATGTTTTCCTTTTTTCTCTTTTTTTTTTTTTTACTTTTCCTCTTTTTCCTTTCCCCAGCCACCTTCCTTGTTCCTCCTCCCTATTTGAACATTTTCTTGCTATTTCATAATATCTGTTATACACTTTTGGCTTCTCACAACAGAGAAACAATGCAGTATTTACACGTGTGTCTGATTTCTTTCACTTAAAAATATGATCTCAAGGTGCATTCATTTACCTAGAAATGTCTCAAGCTTATCCTTCTTTATGGCAGACTAGTACTCCATTGAAGGAAAAAAAACACATCTTTATCAATTCACCAGTTGGTTGGCAATTGGGCTGTTTCCTAGATTTAGCTATTACTAACTGCCCTGCTCTAAACATGGGTATGCATATATCACTGTAGTATGATGCTTTTAATTCTTTTAGGAAGATAGCAAAAAGGGGAGTAGCTAGGTCAAATGGAAGCCCTAGTCCCAGATTTTAGAGGGATCGCCACACTAATTTCCACAGTGGTTGTACACTCCCACTAGTAGTGGAGAAGGGTTCTTTTTACTCCACAGCCCCCCCAGCATTTGTTACTGGTTGATTTTTTGGTAGTAGACAATCTTTCATGGGTGAGATGGAATCTCAGTATTGTTTTACTTGCATCTCTCAAATTACCAGTGATATTGAACATTTTTTATATATTTGCTCTAATTCTTCATCTGAGAAGTATGTATTCATCTCAGAAGCCCATTTCTGGATTGGGTTTTTAAATTGGGGGGGCTGATTTTTTTTTGCATTCTTTATATGTTCTAGATAGTAATCTTTTGTCTGAGGAATGGCTGGCAACTTTTTTTCCCACTCTGTGGGTTGTCTCTTCACTCTTGGTTTCTCTTCCTGTGCAAAAGCTTTTTAATAAGATGAGATCCTAGTTGTTGATTCTTTATGATAGATCCTGTGCAGTCCTACACCAATATCTTCAAGAGTTTTACCTATTCTATCTTCCAGCTGAGTTAATGTTTATGTTTTAAAATTTAGATCTTAAGTCCATTTCTAATTTAGTTTAGTGCACAATGAAAGGTACGGGACTAATTTTAATCTTCGGTATATGGAAAGCAAGTTTTTCCAGCATCATTTATTAAAGAGGCTTTCTTTCAGTGAATGTGTTTGGCAACTTTGTCAAAGATAAGGTAGCTCAGTATATCTGGAGTTGTTTCTACATCTTCTAATCTGTTCCATTGATCCTCAGGTCTGTTTTCTTGCCAGTACCATGCTGTTTTTACCATAGGAGCTCTGTAGTGTAATTTCAAGTTATGGATATGAATTGTGATGCCCCCAGCCTTGCCTTTGTTGCCCAGAATTGCCATTGCTATTATAGCTCTCTTATGGTTGAATTTTAGGATTGTTTTCTGTAATTCTGTGAGATACGCTGTTGGTCATATGATTGTAATTGTATTAAATCTATAACAATTTTGGAAGTACAGCCATTTTTACTATCTTGGTTCTTCCTACCCAAGAATGAGGATATCATTCCGTTTTCTGATATCCTCTTCAATCTCCTTTTTCAAAGTACTGTAGTTTTCGATGCAGAGGTCTTTACTGCTTTTGTTAAATTGATTCCTAGGTATTTCATTTTTTTGAATGCTATTCTGAAAGATGTTATTTCTCTAATTTCTCTCTCAGCAAGTTTGTTACTTGTGTAGAAGGCGGCCATGGATTTTTCAGTGTTGACTTTGTATCCAGCAACAGTGCTGAATTTGGTTATTAAATCTAGAAGTCTTTTGGTGCAATTTTGGGGTCTTCTATGTAGAATATCATGTCATCTGCGAATAATGATAATTTAACTTTTTGCTTTCCTATTGTTATTCCTTTTATTTCTTTCTCTTATTTAATTGCTCCTGCTAAAGTTTCCAGAACTATATACAAAAAGAGTGGTGACAGTAGACATCCTTGTCTTGTTCCTGATTTTAGAGTGAAAGCTTTCAGTTTTTGTCCACTTAGTATGATATTGGCTATTAACTTGTCATAGATGACTTTTGTTATGTTTTATTTTCTTTTTCTCTTTAAAATAAAAAAAAAAAAAAAACAATCAGCTCTGGATACTAAGTTGTGCAAAGCGTGAGCTAAACGAAGAAAGTTACTTAAAGGTGACAGGTTTACAACTTTGGCCATCTGGTGAGCCTCAGCTAGGGAGTCACGGCAGGGACAAGGGGAGCAGGAGAGAAGTTGATGCAGGTTAGGGAGTGAAGTCTTATAGGGAAGGGGTAAGGAGAAGTGAGATAACACAGTAGTGAAACTCATTATGACCTCAAATGCTGGAGGAGGCAGGGAGAAATGTACACAGCTAGAGCAAAAAGGTCTGTAATTCCAGAAGGCAAAGGATAGGGGAACTGAGTCCAGAAGTGGACTGCTTTTCTGCCTCAAGCTGTGATTGCTTAGTCAGACTTAATCACTCCCTTGTCCACATTTTAGGCCCCTCTTTCTCTTACTTATTTGTATTGTTTGACTAAACCAAAACTTGTGTTAAATCTAATGTTTTGCCTTTTCTGCTTCTGACCAGTGCAGTTGAACCTTGCTGGAAAAAAATTCACAAACATTCTCTTACTGTATTTCCCTGTCTCTTAACTCTCCTGCTCTTCTAGATGATAGCCTCATACTTTCCTTCTTTGTACTTTTTGTTCTACCTCTCTTAGCCTTCTCATCTGATCACCGAAGGTAGAATACATCATACTTCTAAGACAATTCACTCAAAAAGAAAGTTCCCTAAAACCCCATGACTGCAGTTAGCACCTGCCAACATTTGTTTAATTTTCCCTTGATGCCTATTACTATACATGATCTGTAGTACTGAGCAGAAGGATCCTGCTCTGAAGTGAGGACCCACACTTTGTGTATTGGATCTCATTGTCCCTTACCTGCTGAAGATCATCACTCTTTCTTCCCACTCTTCCATATTATCAGCTTTTACTTTTCTACTGGATCATATCCATTAGCATACAGATTTCTTTTTTTAAAAAATACTACTTGTTAAAAAAATACTTCTTGTTTCTATCAGACATTATTTAATTTCTCCTCCCTTTTGCAGCAAAACTCCTAGAAGGAATAATTTGTAGCCAACAGTTTGGATTTTTTCCTTCCACTCTTAAATTCAATTCCATCAGGCTTTTCTTCCCACTCTTACTATTAAACTGTTAGGGTTACCCATGAGCTATGTTTTGCTAATTTGAATGGTTTGTTTTGAATCCACATCTTTACCTGTCAGTATCATTTGACTAACCTCCTGGTAACACTTTGTGCATTTGGCTTCATAGATACAGAGTGTTTTTTGTTTGGTGATAGTATGGCTAGGTAAGCCAGGCTGACCTTGAACTGACTGTGTAGCCAAGGCTGCCATCAGTCTCAATATCCTCTTACCTCAGCTTCCTGAGTGCTTGGATTATGGATGTGCTCCACCATGCCCACCTTAGAGTGATTCTTTTAGTAAGTCATATTTGCTGCTCAGGCCCCTACATTGTTGTTCATTTTACTTACAGTAAAAGCCAAAGCACTTAGAATAATGTGTAAGATCATAAGTGATTGGGCTATTTGTTACCACTCCCACTTCATTCTCTAGTGTTCTTTCCCTCAGTGGCCTCCTTGCTCATTTTCAGCCATTTTGGGCATCGCTTAAGACTTGTACAGCCTTTCATTCAGCCTTTATTGACATTTGTCTGTTCCTCAGTGAAACCTACTGTGACGCCCTACTTAATACTGGTGCTACCACCCTTACCCTCCATATTCTTGCATTCTGTTCTGTAGATATATTCAGAAAATATTTGATGGATAAATGAATATGAAATTAAACAGTTTAACTTTAAAATTAAAAAGAAACAGCTTGATCTTTTAGCCTTTGTCTTTGAGAAAGGTTGACTATTGTAGTTTGCCCTCAAAAATCTCCTGGACACCAATTGGTTCTCCTGTATTTCAATTTAACTCCATTACTAACTCCCTGAAACAGGTCAGACTTAACAAGTTAAAGACAGAGTCCTTCAATTCTGAGTTAGTGTAGACATCACACATTAAAGAGTACCCAGGTGGAAGAGCATGGGTGTGGAATTAAGATAGCTCAGCGTTTCTGTCTCCTTTCTGGGCATACCACCCTCCTGTTTGCCAGCCTGGAAGATCCCAGACCTTACATACCTTACATACATTTTTTTTTTTTTTTTTTTTGTAGTTTTATTACCTCAGACATGATTGAACTGTTGGCTATGGATTGAGCTCAATCTCTAGACCCCTTTGCCCTTTCCAGGGTTG